GGGGGGGGGGGGGAATAATATCAACCTCCCAGTCCCTTCCCTTCAACATAAAGTGTTAAAGTGTGAAAAGTATCAAGCATGAACAATGTTTCATAAAGTTTTCATATTATGCAAAAAAAATATGTGTGTTGAATCTAAAAAAAAACATTTGTATCCATCTTCATTGCAAAGTTTTCTGTTTTCCGCAGACGTTTCAAACCTAAAATCTAGTTTTGATAAACCGATAGATCATAACATTTCACAAATTAAAAAAAATTAAGATAGAAAATCAAGTAAAAACATATTTTTCAAAATACTTTGTATTTTGTAAAATATTTTTGAATCAAAGAAATATTGTTAACTGTGACCATCTAGAATTGCTGATGGGGAAGAAAGTAATCAAATTCAAGTTTGGAATAGTCAGGAAAATAAAAATTTTCTTCTATTTATGAAAAATGTGAAAACTGTCTACTACTGTATGATGTAGATTTGGTGTAGTTGAAACTGAGTATTGTGTTACCACAAAAACCAAATAAGTTGACAAGAGTACAATTCTGTTAATGGTATAGATTCATAAACATTTAAAAACATACACGGGAACTGTCCTATCTACCCGACTAAGACAGGAATTATCCAACATACTCCAGGAACACATTAACTGTCCAACCTACTCAAGGAACACAGAAACTATCCAACCTACTCTAGGAACACAGAAACTATCCAACCTACTCTAAGAACACAGAAACTATCCAACCTACTCTAGGAACACAGGAACTATCCAACCTACTATAGGAACACAGATCTTATCCAACCTACTCTAGGTACAGAGAAACTATACAACATACTCCAGGAACACAGAAACTATCCAGCCTACTCTAGGAACACTGGAACTATCCCTCCTACTCAAGGAACACAGGAACTATCTAACCTACTCCAGGAACACAGAAACTATTCAGCCTACTCGAGGAACACAGTAACTATCTAACCTACTCCAAGAACACAGAAACTATCCTACCTACTCT